TGTAAACTAAGAAATGAGCCTTTGACAGGGGGTATATGACCAAGAGGTTAGATTAAAGAGGAGTATGGAGTAACTCTTAACTTTTACTTAAATTTTGTATTTTTGTTCTTTTGTTTGTTTCATGGATTATAAAATACATTATTTCAAAATTGACCTTTAAAAATTACCCCAGTGTCTTGACTCTGGTGTCATATTTGCATTGTCCAATTCTATAGGTCCAACATTTGAATAAAGGGCTACAGTCTGCACATTAGAATTCAGGAAGCGAGGTGGTGAGTGCGTTCCCTTGGTGACTGGAAATGAAAGAGAAAGCCTCCTTTGTGATGCTTTCAGCCAGAGCTTTGTTTTGCTTCCCACCCTTTGTCCCCTGCCAAGAGAGGTCAAGGAAGGTAACATTTTCTTGACCATGTGCAATGTTCCAGTAACGGGCATTGTAACTCACACCTGGATTTGTCCTGGGTCACTGGCAAGTATGATGGATTATAATTGCTGCATATTTAGAGGGCTATTCCAAGGTTACCCAATATGAGGGTGAATATTCAATTCACCCAAAGTACTCAGGAGGTAGAGGAATAAATATCCATTAGGTATTCTAAAGTGGTAACCAAAAATTAGAAGATAAAATATTCTGTGCTCTCAGAATCCTTAAATGTCAGTGGCTGAAAGGCCAGGGCTACATTTTGAATATACTTAGTAGATACTGCTGAGTATATGTCTCCTGAAGGGCCAAGTGAGGGCCTCCTTTTGAGAATCAAAGAGACATTTAGCTCAGTTAGTAGCTACGCATAGTGGAACAAGATCGGCCATCTTAAAAAAAGAAAGGCGGGGCGGGGGTGGGGGGGGTGGGGTGGGGGAAGATTTCTAAGAAGCACAAATCTTCCACTACACTATGAATTAAATTGATTCAATTAATTATGCTTTCACACAAATGGCACACAGACTGGCTGGAAACCAAGATCTTCTTCCCTGTGTTAGGAGCAATAACCTAGTTTTCTGTTTTTATGAAGCTTTTATATTTTTGACGTATGCTGTCTTTTCCTAATTATCTTCTTTCATTGAGCTTTTCTCTGCCAGGCCAAGTGATGCCAAAAGGAATAACAAAATGGACTCCCCCCCACTCGGTGGGATTGGGCTTTTAATCTTCTCCCATTTGGGTCACAAAATCAAATAAACTCACTGCCATTGAGCTGATTCTTTTGGGATTCATCATGATACTATAGTTTCTGAGACTGTAACTCTTTATGGGAGTAGAAAGCTTCATCTTTCTCATGCAGACTACCCTGTGGTTTCCATACTGCTAACCTTGCAACTAGCTGCTTGGTCTGATGCTGATGTAATGGGTTAGACCCTAACCCAGGACACTAATTCTGGTTTGTCTAATTTGAAGAGGGTTTGGGGAGGAAGACTGGAAGTAATGTCTTTGAGTGCAAGACATTTAGGTGATTTAGTGGCTATGCATAGTAGGATAAGATGGGCCATTTAAAACAAAGAAAGTTTTATCAGAGTAATGTTTGGTCTTTGAGTGTAGGATTCTAGTACCATGGGAGAGTCATCAAAGATCACAACAGATGCAAGAGTTCGCTCATCCAGAATTCAATGAACTTGAGGACCTAATCTGTGCCAGATGTGGGAGATATGTTTTATTTTCCAGAAGGACCCATTTGTGTTGGCAAAGATATAAAATAGATGTGTTCATAAACCCACTGCTGCTGAGTGACCCTCAGGGCAGAGCTTCTGAAGAGGGATTGCAAGCCTGTAATCTTTACCAGAGCAGATTTCCACATTTTCTGCCACCAAGTACCTGGTGGGTACAAACCACCAGCCTTCCAGATAGCAACACAATATTTGGCCAGTGCACTATCAAGGAAATAGAGTATATCAAATACAAAGAAGAGGATGTCTATAGACAAAAGGAGGTCTACAGATAGGGATAAGGAGCATTGATATAGTGTGCCATGCAATTTTATAAAGGTGCCATGTCTGGGTTTCAATGAATCAATAAGGCATATGGGCATGAAGGAGATAAGGGAGAAAAGAAAAAAAAAGAAAAGAAACAGGAGAAAGTATTCCTGGTAAAGAAAATAACCAGCATAGAGACTCCAAGATTACAGTGGCTCTCATTTTTTTAAATCATTTTATTAGGGGCTCATACAACTCTTATCACAATCCATACACACATCAATTGTGTAAAGCACATTTGTACACTCATTGTCCTCATGATTCTCAAAACATTTTCTCTCCACTTAAACGCCCGGCATCAGGTCCTCATTTCCCCCTCCCTCCCCGCTCCTCCCTCCCTCATGAGCCCTTGATAGTTTATAAATTGTTATTTTGTCATATCTTGCCCTGTCCAACATCTCCC